ATTGCTGCTTAGCTATCTGCTCTCTTGCTCAATTGCTCATACTCAAGTTTTCATAAACTTTAGCATCAGGTCACTGCATCTTGTCCTAGCAACTTCTGAAGGAATTTATGAATAATAATTCATAATTATTTTAAATTGTAATTTATTAAAACATTTTAATTTATATTCTTACCTGCAAGTTTATATAGCCTCTGATCCTTGTCCCCTTTTGAGTATTCCTTTTTGACTATACAAATTTAGCTCCTGCAGTTGGTCATCACGTATATTATATCTCAATCCTCATTATATTTGATGGCCACCATAAATTTTCCTAGTTTTCCCACTAACTTTCCTAAAATGTGGCAATTAGACCACAAAGTATTTTAGGTGCCCCACCACCCAGCAATTTCTAGATTGCACCTCCCAATCAATCTGATCATGGTTGAGTTTTCACCTTTTGTTACATACTTAATAAAAGTATCAAATGTATTTTGATTTTTAAAATATGCCCCTGCATAGTTTGTTGGTTCAGATATCTGTACATAACCCGTTTGCCCCTCCTTGCATTTACAAATGTTATCAAATTAAGTTGTGAACGCCTCACCTATTCACAACGAACAAAGTACATTCCCTTACCACTCCCTGGTCCTCGCCTCTGGGGAATGGAGAGCAAATAGACTTTAAAGCTTGCCCTGAAGGTCAATATATCTGGGTTCTGGTGAATCTAGATGGCGCAGATTCAGAGTCAAGGATCCCTTGATGAAATTTCTCTACCAGCAACTCCCTGCTGTTTAAAGTAGGGGACTGTCAATTCAGCAACCTCAGCTGATTTCATCTGGGAAGTTATTACACAAAGAAAAAGGTCACATTTCAGGTAAGTGGGTAAAAACCAGCACTTGGATTTATATCTAGAAATTATATGACAACCAGTGTCTATCAGATGTAATGTGATCTGTGCAGAAAACATTGGTTAGCAAGTAGGTTTCTATGTGCACTACCTGAAGTTTCCAAATGGCATTTTGGTGCACTGTGTACCATGAGTCTATGGTATATGGCACTGCAAGAAAGTTGAACGAGTAATTACAGCAAACAAGGTTATTAATTTGGCCAGATGTATTTTTTTAATCAACTAATTTGTTGGACTGCTTTCTTCTAAATAGTCACATAGGCCCAGATCTCCAAAAATATTTAGATGCCTACCTACCTCTTTAGGCACCTAATTCCACCATTTAGGTGCCACTAACCATGTAGGCATATAAGTTTCTGCTGGTTGGCATTCACAAAGCCACCTACACCCTGATGCTGCCCACAGCTAATGAACAGCTCAAAGCCCTTCTCAAACTAGGGAAGGTTGATCTTGTAGGCATGCTTAGAGCAGGCACATACCTGGCAGACCCTGCAGCAGGTGGTCCAGATGTAGGCCACCAATAAGTAGGGTGCACAGGGAAACATAGGGCAAGCATGAGAGAGTATTGCCCATGAACAGGAGGCAGTGAGAGAGATGGTATCAGCTGTTAGGGCATGGACTACATAAGCGGCTGACCTGGCTTAGGCACCTAGCTCCAGGAGAAGATTTGCAGCTGAGGATCGCCAGCAGAAGGAAATACCTATCTCTGGCCCATCAGCCAGGTACAAAAGGTCAGCAGTTTAGATGCCTAAGCCCTTCTTTTTTTCCCACCCCTCTCCCCACCATTTCACTCCTGGTTAGCTCAGGCAGCTCCCTGCTCAGCTTGCTGACTTCTGAGGATCCCTTTCTTAGGGGCGGGGTCACAGGTGCTAACTTTTCTTTTTCCCGGTGGATACTCCACCCCTGCTCCACCCTGAGGCCCCACACCCACTCCGCCCCTCCCCACGAGGTCCTGCCCTCACTCTGCCTTTTCCCGCCCCTGCTCTGCCCCCTCCCCTGCTCAGCCCCCTCCCCCTGCTCAGCCCCCCCTTCCCTAGACCCTGCCCTCGCTTCTCCTCTTCCCACCCTCCCCGCCATTCACTGCTCTCAACCCTCCCATGAGCACCTCCTTGCCAGCCGCCCAACAGCTGATTAGTGGCCCCATCCAACACCTGATTGGTGGACCCCACTGAACAGCTATGGTTGGTGTATGCTGAGCACCCCCTCTTTTTTTTCTGTGGTTGAGCCTGGAGCACCCACAGAGTTGATGCCTATGGGCTGGGTTCACAAAGGTATTTAAATGTTGCAATGCTACAAGATCAGGTGACATCTGAGTGGTGGTTTGAGAATGTCAGCGGTGCCTAAATGTTGGCACCTAAAGAGGCAGTTAAGTACTTAATGCATTTAAGTACCATTGTGAATCTGGCCTCAGACACGTAACTCTCCCCATGCTTGGGGCTGAGGATTTCACTGGACTGTGCAGGGATTAGGTGTTGTAACACGCTGTGGAACAACACCTAAGTACCTTTGAGGAGCTGGGTAATACTGACTCGTTATATGTTTGAATATTTTACTTGGAAAAGAAACAAGGCTAATATGTCAATATCTTCTAGTATCTTCCTTTCTATCATTCTTAAAGGCAAATTTTTGCTTTCTTAGGCTAGGTCTACACTACCCGCCTGAATCGGCGGGTAGAAATCGACCTCTCGGGGATCGAATTATCGCGTCTCGTCGGGACGCAACAATCGATCCCCGAATCGACGCTCTTACTCCACCAGCGGAGGTGGGAGTAAGCGCCGTCGACGGGAAGCCGCGGAGGTCGATTTTGCCACCGTCCTTACAGCGGGGTAAGTCGGCTCCGATACGTCGAATTCAGCTACGCTATTCACGTAGCTGAATTTGCGTATCTTAAATCGACCCCCCCCCGTAGTGAAGACCTGCCCTTAGTCTCCAGGGAAGACTTCTGACTTATAATTTACTGAATATTATTTCCAGAGATTCCTAAATTTATACCATAGTTCTTTTAAAACTTCCAGATGCATTGTCTTTTAAACTGAAGATTTACATTTATTTAGTTTGTTCAAATACTCTTTCATCATCTTTTTGTTCACTCTTTACTCTCCAGCTTTCTTTAGTTATTTGCCTGAGTTTAAAGTTCTTTTATATTTTCATTATCATTACCCATTTTATTGAAAACTGAGCAAATTGGTATTTAAAATCTGGCTATTTTGTCTAAGTGTGAAATAGTGTGTTTTGCTATATTGGAAATATAGCTTCCAAAAACAATTCACATTTTGGTGTGGGTTTGAATATTAACGATAATTCTGTTACTCACAAACCAGCCTATTTGATTCACCAGTATTATTTTTATCCAGCTTTTTCCATGAAGTTGCAAACAGAAAATGCAGTACATGCTGTACTGTAGTTTTTCTGTAACTATTCCATTAAAGTCGATTGTTAATATGTCTCCTGTACTTTCTGACTGTTCCACTTACACAACAAAATAATTTAGTATGAACTGCAAATAAAAGGAATTGTCGTGTGAAACAGACAGTTACTCAAGATGCAAAGCATTGGGTTGGAAGAAGGATTGAGGATTGGAAAAGTAGTAACTGCTAAGAGCCTTTACAAAGGGGATGTTCAGCAGTCTAGGTAGTCTGAGGACAAAGGTTTTACATGTTCTACACTGTGATAAAAACAATACGCCAACATTATACTTAAACACCAATATTTGCTTTACAGAAAGATTTACTTTTAAGAATAATTTTTTTCAGATATTTAAATATTATGAAAAACTTTTAAACCATTATAGGTAGGGCCCTACCAAATTCACGGTCCATTTTGGTCAGTTTCACGGTCATACGATTTTTAAAATTGTAAATTTCATGATATCAGCTATTTAAATGTGAAATTTCAGTGTTGTAACTGTAGGGGTCCTGACCCAAAAAGGAGTTGTGTGAATGGGGTCACAAGGTTATTGTAGGGGGAGTTGCGGTACTGATACCCTTACTCTGCGCTGCTGCTGGCGGCGGTGCTGCCTTCAGAGCTGGGCAGCTGAAGAGTAGTGGCTGTTGGCCATGTGCCCAGCTCTGAAGGCAGAGCTACTGCCAGCAGCAGCACAGAAGTAAGGATAGTATGATATGGTACTACCACCCTTACTTCTGCACTGCTGCTGGGTGGGGTGTCGCCTTCAGAGCGGGACACCCAGCCAACAGCTGCTGCTCTCCAGGTCCCCAGCTCTGAAGGCGGCGCTGTAAGGGTGGCAATACCGCAACCTCCCTAAAATAACCTTGCGACCCTCCCCCTCCCTCCCCTGCAACCCTCTTTTGGATAAGGATCCCCAATTTGAGAAACGCTGGTCTTCCCTGTGAAATCTATATAGTATAGGGTAAAATCACACAAAAGACCAGATTTCACAGTCCGTGATGCATTTTTCATGGCCGTGAATTTGATAGGGCCCTAATTATAGGTAAGATGCTCTGTTCCAACTGAACTCTGCTTAGCACAGCAATGCAAACTGTGATGGGAAAGGTGAATTCAAGATATGTTTGCCCTTTCCCTACTCTTGACCATGCCGTGGGCTTGCCTGGTCCTAAGCATGGGTTAGAGCAGGCTCAGCTGCAATGGACATAAACGGCTATTCTTGTAGCCAAGCATAACCAGAGCACAGCTATGCCCCTGATGCTATAAGCTGTGAATAGGACAGTGTAAAACTGTTATTCCAGTTCTATGCAAGCTAGAGAATCCCCTTAGACTAGGTATAGTCTCAAGTGGCCAGCTCCATTGATTATATAGCTCCCTTACCCCATCAAGTTTCATGTATCTTTACCTAATTTACAGTGGTCCAAATGGGTTTCTCGAGCACACAATTCAAGTAGACAAAAACAAATTACATATTTAATTTCTAGATATGTCTTAGATTGCAAATAGACGCTGTAACTAAAGCCAATACAGAACAATATGTCATGTTAATATAGGAATGCAAACCCCTCCCCCCCATTTATATTACAAGACACTAGCTGTCTTCTGTGTAAATTCAAGAAAATGGTAGCAGAGTTTAGTTTTGAGAATCAGAAGAGTAACTATTTGGTTATACCTTTATTTTTTTTAAACTGCATATAAAAAGCTAAAAGGCTCATATATGTCTATTGTGCTTTAGCCTGGCATATTTTTTGACAGTATTTTCAGAATGCCTTTGCAGTTCTTCAATGTGTGAATTTAAAATCTCTTCAAATTCTTTTGCTCGTTTCTCTTCTTCTTGAAAGAACTTTTCTGTTGCAGTTGTAGGTAAGGACATCTCTGGGGGAAGCTGAACAATACATAGAGCAGGCACAGTTATTAATGAATTGAAAGTACAGCAATAATTTTACATTATTGAAGCATAAAACAAAATTTTCATCTTAAGTTTTACAAGCTAGTAACTTTGCATATTTTCTATCTTTTACTAAAACATAGACTTAGTCCTTAGGTGTGTCACTACATATTTAAATGTACTACTGGTCACAATTTGGCTCCCCTGCTATCCTCAAGACCCTTGGGCCAGTCACAGGACATGTCAGTCCCTGCTGTACTTTAGAATAGCCTCTAGCAAACAGTATTTGAAATGATGGGATATACTGAATAAAAAAGACTTTTTTTTTTGCATCTTAAGAAGTTAGATAGACGGTTCTCTAAAAGAATGTTAATTCAGTAATACTAGCAACCAAGACACTCAGAAAAACTTTAGTATTAGCCTCAACCTGGTTTGGGTTACACCTCATTTCTCCCGCCAGTGAATTTTTATTCTAGGACCTCCATGTCGCATAGTCTTCACAGTGGGATGTTCCCTATCTCCATGGCAACTGGAGCAGACCAGATCTTTGGTCTGAGCTGGACTTAGGACTGCCCCTCAGGAAGAACTCTCCAGAAGAAATGGTTACAATTTTTTTCTGTAACTGTTGTTCTTTGAGATGTCACACATGTCCTCCAGTGCACAGCTGTGTGCTCCAGTGCACAGCTGCTGCAGAGCTTTTCTCCTTAGCTGTGTCCATCAGGATGGCATAAGTGTCCTCTGCTGTCTTGTGCACTGCATGAGCAATGCACACACAAAGGGTGGAGCCACCCCTGACCCTCCTCAATTCCTTCCTACTGGAAGACTCAAATAGAGAGGGGAAGGAGGGTGGGTCGTGGAATGGACACATGCAAAACATATCTTGAAGAACAACAGTTATGGAAACCATTTCTTTTTCTTCTAGTGATTGCACATGTCCATTCCACGAACCACCCTCGTTCCCCTCTTTATTGGAGTCTTCTGGTACGAAGGAACTGAGGAGGGGTTAGGGGTTGCTCTGTCTTTTATGCCTGCGTTCAGTGCGTGATACAGAAGAGGATGCCCCAACAGGCACACACACCTACAGTGGAATGGACATATGCAACACATTTTGAAGAACAACAGTTACAGAAAGGTTAGTATCTGTTCTTCTTTGAGTGATTGCGTATGTCCATTCCCCTATAGATGAATCACAAGCAGTTCAAAATGGAGGTGGGTTCGTAGTCTATTGAACCACTCGTCCATTGTGAGAGGTAAATGTATGACAAGATAAGCAAGTTGTCACTTTGCAAATGTCTAATATGGGAATACTAGCTAGAAAGGCCACAGAGGCTGCTTGGGACAGTCGAAAGACTCAACACTATTTGGTGGCTTCTCAGATAAGGGGACCACAGCCTCTGCTTTTAAGTTTCCCTTCCTCACACAGTACTTCTTCTGGTTTTACAACTGGACTTGGATGCAAATAGGTTCATCAACAGGCTTCCAACCTGGTGTGTGATGCACCAAAAAGCTAGACTGCATCACTTGGTTCTAAGTGTGTCTTCCTGAGCTGACTAACCCTGACTTTTCTTCATTGTATAAGGCCCCGAGAAACAGAGAGAAGGCTTCCATCCAGGACATAAACAAACTTACTTCTCTAAGCTGTGCTGAAGGTTTTCTGCCTTCTGAGCAGTTAAACACCATGTTTTTGAAGAATCATATGCTGGAAATGGAGAAGTGAGCTTGGAAGTCCATAGTATGAGACAGGTTATACTTTGTGTCTCATCTTGGAACCACATCCCCCACATAAGAGTCACATAAGAGTCCACATGGCATCTGTTATCTAGACCTGACATCAGGTAGCTATTAAATAATATTAAGAATGAATTCAACATGAGATGCTAGTACTGGATCTAGACCAAGATCTTTTATATACTTATTTGCTGGAATTGCTATCTGGAAGCGAAGAAACAATCGTGCTGGGTATACACGAGACCAAAAAGCCCAGGAGCTGTCAGAGATTTTGTCTTTATAGAGGTCTGCTAATGTCAGACTTTATTTTCTTCTGTCTCTCTTCTGAAATAAAGGTTATCATAGAAGATAAGTTAAATGCTGGAATTTTGTGAGCTGTATTGAAAAAGCTTCTTGTGTTGCAGAAGCTAAAGTATCTCTGGGTGACTCTCCCTGATCAGTAGGGACTACAGGAAATTTATTTTGTATTCTGATGTCTGGGGAAGAAAATTCTGCAATGATGGATTTCAGTATTTCCACTTAAAATATTGATCTCCTTATGGACTTGTTGAGACACCTGAGATTTCTATGTCATTGTTTCTCTTTGTACCACAAAGAATCTTGTGCCCTTTCCAAAATAACTGTTTCTTCATGAAGCTGGTTCTGTTGTTACAATGAGTAGAAGATGGCTGACTGCACCCTTTATCTTCTAGTATCACAAAGGGTCTTACTGATAGTGTTGGTTTATTTTAATGTACATGGGGAAAGGATAAACTTGTCTCTTGGACATCTCAAACACCCATTTTCTTAGATGATTCATTCCCAGATGACAATTAAAGGGGGAAATCTGCCCAGACTTCAGAAACCCCTTATTCCCTTGTTTAAAGCATCAGTGACTGCTTTGTCTCTGTGCTCCCTAAAGAGCTTACCAACAAAACATTTAGAAGGATATCAGAGTTTAGAATGCTATTCTATGGTTGCCCTGGGAACATATATTTGAATGTATAGCAAATCAGTCAGGTGAAGCATCATTCTCGAAAAAGTTGCTAGGGAAGCGTAATTAAAGTAGATTTTATGTCGTGTTTTTCTTTGTGCACACTCACAGTGGCCTCCGAGTTGAGCATAGACCTCCCACAATAAGAGATTGCAGGCAATACTATCAGCCCTGAGGCAGTTGTATCCAAGTTTTGTTTGAATTATTTTATTTTCCTGTCTGTGTATTTGGCAGGAGTACTCCCTCAGTTAGTATAACTATGTCCTTTACTAAGAATGCAGCAGGCTTAACTTGAGGCAGAGTAATGAAGAATTTGTAGTTGTTAGGTACGAGTAGGTGTCAATAGAGAAATTTCCACTCCTTTATAAACCAGCAGAGGAAAAACCACACACCTCTTCATCAACTTTCCAATTTTTATTTATTTATTAACTTATTTATTGGTGTTTCATTTTCTAAGAAAATAAGCACTTATGAAGCTAAACCCCCATTTGTGCTTAATTCTGGAAAACTTAGTTGAGAGTCTGATGTATCTTGCTCAGAGCCTCAGGTTTACAGATTTCACCTCTTTAGAGGATCTAAAGGGGAGAGTCTCTCTCGGCAGAGGATTTAAGACTTTATGCTTACGATTGAGATGCTAAAGGAGCACACAAGGACGATAAAGCCATTGTGGAGAAACTAAATGAATTCTTTGCATTGGTCTTCACGGCTGAGGATGTGAGGGAGATTCCCAAACCTGAGCCATTCTTTTTAGGTGACAAATCTGAGGAACTCTCCCAGATTGACGTGTCATTAGAGGAGATTTTGGAACAAATTGATAACCTAAACAGTAATAAGTCAGGAGGACCAGATGGTATTCACCCAAGAGTTCTGAAGGAATTCAAAATGTGAAATTGCAGAACTACTAGCTGTAGTCTGTAACCTATCATTTAAATCAGCTTCTGTACCAAATAACTGGAGGATAGCTAATGTGATGCCAATTTTTAAAAAGGGCTCCAGAGGTGATCCCAGCAATTACAGGCCGGTAAGCCTGACTTCAGTACCGAGCAAACTGGTTGAAACGATAGTAAAGAACAAAATTGTCAGAAACATAGATGAACATAATTTGTTGGGGAAGAATAAACATGGTTTTTGTAAAGGGAAATCATGCCCCACCAATCTACTAGAATTCTTTGAGGGGGTCAACAAGCACGTGGACAAGAGGGATCTAGTGGATATAGTGTACTTAGATTTCCAGAAACCCTTTGACAAGGTCCCTCACCAAAGGCTTTTAAGAAAATTAAGCTGTCATGGGATAAGAGAGAAGGTCCTCTCATGGACTGGTAACTGGTTAAAAGATAGGAAACAAAGGGTAGGAATAAATGGTCAGTTTTCAGAATGGAGAGAGGTAAATAGTGGTGTCTCCCAGGGGTCTGTACTGGGCCCAGTCCTATTTAACATATTCATAAACGATCTGGAAAAAGGGGTAAACAGTGAGGTGGGAAAAATTGGAGATGATACAAAACTACTCAAGATAGTTAAGTCCCAGGCAGACTGTGAAGAGCTACAAAAGGATCTCTCACAACTGGGTGACTGGGCAACAAAATGGCAGATGAAATTCAATGTTGATAAATACAAAGTAATGCATATTGGAAAACATAATCCCAGCTATACATATAAAATAATGGGGTCTAACTTAGCTGTTACCACTCAAGAAAGAGATCTTGGAGTCATTGTGGAGAGTTCTCTGAAAACATCCACTCAATGTGCAGCGGTAGTCAAAAAAGCTAACAGAATGTTGGGAATCATTAAGAAAGGGATAGATAAGACAGAAAATATCATATTGTCTCTATATAAATCCATGGTACGCTCACATCTTAAATACTGCATGCAGATGTGGTCACCCCATCTCAAAAAAGATATATTGGAATTGGAAAAGGTTCAGAAAAGGGCAACAAAAATGATTAGGGGTATAGAACAACTGCCATATGAGGAGAGACTGGGACTTTTCAGCTTGGAAAAGAGACAACTAAGGGGGGATATGATAGAGGCCAATAAAATCATGACTGATGTGGAGAAAGTAAAGAAGGAAGTTTATTTACTCCTTATCATAACACAAGAATTCTGGGTCACCAAATGAAATCAACAGGCAGCAGGTTTAAAACAAACAAAAGGAAGTATTTTTTCACCCAACGCACAGTCAACCTGTGGAACTCCTTGCCAGAGGATGTTGTGAAGGCCAAGACTATAACAGGGTTCAAAAAGAGCTAGATATGTTCATGGAGCATAGGTCCATCAATGGCTATTAGCCAAGATGGACAGGGAAGGTGTGCCCAGCCTCTGTTTCCCAGAAGCTGGGAATGGGTGACAGGGGATGGATCACTTGATGATTACCTGTTCTATTCTTTCTCTCTGGGGCACCTGGTATTGGCCACTGTTGGAAGACAGGATACTGGGCTAGATGGACCTTTGGTCTGACTGAGTATGACCGTTCTTATGTTCTTATGCTGTCCTTTTAAATGCTAAGATCCTTCACCAGTCCCTAGGTCAAAAATCCCTGGGAAAAGGTGGGAGGGGCCCCATGAAGGGGAGAGTGCTATTCCTGGGAGATTGTAAGGAAAGTCTACAGGGATGTATCCTGCATATCTCCTTAAGGAAAATAGTGGCCATTTTATGACCTCCTGTGGGACCCTTGTAGGTTGGAAGGGGAGAGGAGGAAGGCCTATCTACCAGAGTAGAGGATCTGAATCACTTCACCCCATGCTCCCTGCTGCTGGATCTGTGCTGACTAGGGACTGACTGCACAAAATGAGGAATGAGCTGGAACCATTGAAGGCAAATTACCCATTGGTATCAGAAAGGTCACAGGAGCTGGTATAGAACCATAAGATTAGACAGGATCACAAGGGTCATTTAATCTAACTTTTCATGGCAGCTGAGGCCTTACAGGTAAAATTGCTTATAGGAAGAGGGCATGTTTTGTGGTCTTCTCAAGCACCTTGGCATAGACCTTGCCTACAGGCTGTCTGGGAGCAGAAATTTTTCCTCTTGGTTGCTATGGGGAGAACTTGCCCTCCCACAAGAGTCAGGAGGCTCCAGTGAAGTTTTCCTCCTTGCTCTACAAGTTGTTGAAATAGGGGCCCTATGACTAGGGGAGGATCGGGCGAGGGGGCCGGGATGGGTTTTGAAAAACTTACTCTATGACCCATTCCACAGATACGGGCCCGGTTTCAATGAAGGCAGATTCCAAACGTTCTGCTCAATTGACCTAGCCCATGTGCTGGCTGGGAGCTAGTTTCCCTTTGGCCTGTTGTCCTTGTCTGCCATTTACTGTGGGGGGAGACAGGGAGGAAAGGCGCTGTCCTTCAAACCCACTTCAGAGAACCAAAAGAATTTTTTTTTTCTCGTTTAACAATGTTGAGGACACAAATCTAAAGCCAATGAAGAAATTGAGAGACACACAAACACACACACTCTCTCCCTCTGCAAAAGTTCTGCTACAAAGGGAGCCCTGGAGTCTGCAGCATGTACAGTTTGGAGGCAGAGAATTCTGGGCAATTCTTCTTGATTGGCAGTCCTAAACTCAGGCTTGCAGCAAAGAAGTGGTTTGCCCCCAGTTGCCATGGAGATGGGTAACACCCCACTGTGAAGAATGACGTGGAGAGGACTGAGAATGCTATAATTTTACTCTTTCCCTTTAAGAAAAATAGAGATTACAACATTCAGGATTTTCTCCTTCATGTTTGGATACAATAGTTTACACCTAGAATAACAGGTACACAGATTCCTTTCATTGTATCCATTAATCTACTTCTAAAGAAATTTTATTTTTCTAACAGCACATTAGGGTCCTTATTAGAGTCGTTATGAATTTACTGTGATAGAGTTGTTAAAGCAGGGTGCCCCAGCTGAAGGCCATATTGGCAACTTGCTAAAAGCCTGAAGCTCACACCTTATTTTCATAATAGCGGTGATAACCACCATCACCATTAACACTGAGGTATGGCTGAGCATGAAATATACCATAACAGCAAGTGTAAACTATATTATAGGAATCCATGAATCACATTTGGCCTATAGACTGAACTTTGGCCACCTCTGTGTTTAAAGTAAAATAACTACTCACCATTGGGTTGACTTCTTCCACACTGTACACATGGCTCAGTAAAACATCACACCTGTGCTTTTCAGGAAATGGGCTGTTGTAGTGTGAAGGATATAACATTGGTGGTGATGGAGATTTACCATCTAGTTTCTGGTCATGATCTCTGCTAAGTCTCTGAGATGGTAAGCTGCTGCCACTTTTAGTACCAATGATATCACCTTGACCATGTAGAGTAAGATTTTGGTTTCTGTAGAGATATAGATAGTGGGTTACACAGGTTTCATTTGCCATTTAATTTTATTTTGGAAAGTTCTAAAATAATAAAAATAATGTTTTCAAAATATGAAGACCAGTTAAACTGTGAAATATAGTGGTTAGGCCATGGTTTCTGTTAATATAATTTTGTCCTCTTTGCTTTTCAAACTGCTTCAAGTATGAGTTCCATGACGGATATGTTTAAATCAGCTTAAAACAGTAGTGGGCATGGCACTTTCAGAGAATGACATTAATCTCTGAAATTTATTCCCCACCTTGGTCTGATACAGACCAATGTTGTTGACCTGCAGGCCTGTTAACATCTATATTTTCTCATGCTTTAACTGATACAACGAGCTACAATATGAGAGTGTAAGAGAGCTAGGAAGGGGAGACCTTATTTATGGTGTTTGGGTTAGTGGATTTTGATCCATTCAAATGTCTTATGGATGTAAATACATGCAGGTGCCTAGGATTTAGAACTGACGCTTTTAATAAATCAAATTAAAGCTTTAGCATGTGGAGCCCCTGATCCTGCATCATTAAACTCAATAGGAAGCTTTGCCATTGACTTCAATGAGCGCAGGTCAAAACAAGAATGAGAAAAGAAGAAACATTAAATACATATTTAAACTGAATAGGGGTATTTCTTTCTCTAACAATAATAACTGAAGAACTTCAAGCTGATTCAAGAATCCTTCAAGTACAGTATTATGGTATCCATAATCTTTGAACCCTATTGACTGTGTAATCCATAGTAGATGTGAAATCATATGTTTTTTATCTACCTGAAGATCAGTCAAGTAATAGCTACTGTAATTAACTGTTGTATTAGAAAAGAAATCTACTTGCTACCCATTGCAAACAAATTCTCTTGGTAGCTGTCTGAGTAACTGCTAAAAACATATTGAGAAATAGCATGCGGTTTTGATTTCTTCTTACTTATACACATGCTTTCTTAATTAGAATAATTTCCAGTTGTATCTTTATTTGTAATATGTACCAAAGTGTGAAAAACAGAAAAATCTGATAACCTCATTTTTTCTTACACAGCAGGTTTTTCTCTTAGAATACTTTTCGTAGTGGTAAAAGTTTCCACCATTGTATTAAAGTCTGAGTTTATTACAAAGAAGGGTTCTGCTTTTGTAGGTAACATGGAGTACTCAATACCTACTTTAATTAAACACTATAGCAACAGGGCCGGCTTTAAGCCGATTCGGCCGATTCCCCAGAATGGGGCCCCGCGCCTAAGAGGGCCCTGCAACGTCCGGGGCTGCTGGCGGAGCAGAGAAAAGAAAAAAAAAAAAAAGCCGCATCCTGCTTCTCCCCCCTCCCTCCAGCGCTTGTGCCACCATACAGCTGATCAGCGCAAGCCTGCGAAGGAGGGGTGAGGAGGAGGAATGCGGTGTGCTTGGGGAAGACGCAGGGCCAGGGTGGGGATTTGGGGAGGGATCCAATGGGGCAGTGAGGGGGCGGGGCCAGGGCGGGGATTTGGGGAGGGATCCAATGGGGGCAGGGAGGGGCGGGGCTGGGGGCGGGGCCAGGGCGGGGATTTGGGGAGGGATCCAATGGGGC